AAGAGGTGAAAAGCTAAAAGGATACCTTTTTTGGGAGTCACTGGCTCAGCTTTCTTCTTCTTAAGAACCTCAGCTTCTAAACAATAGCAACAGAAAACATAAGGTCCAGTTTACTGCAGAGGACAATAATCTGGTTTCTATTATTACAGTCACAGGTGATTATTCCACACTATGATGCTGTATAAAAAAATACAAAAATGTGCATAGAAATACAAAAACTTCACATTCAAAAACATTGTTAAGTTCTAAATCTATGTATTGGAATTAGTATTAGTATTGGTAGATACTATTTGACTAGTAAAATGTTCAGTCACTATTTTTACCTTTTTTGGTTGGTTCTGGTTTGGCTCTTACTTTTGGAGTTACAGGCACTAACAGAGAGGAAAAAAGTTGCCAGGTTATGTTTGGAAACATTCAGAAAGTATTCAATAATTGTAAAAATATATATAAAAAACAACAACAACAACATAATAACAGTGCATGGTGGTAATCACACAAGAACGGCTGCTTAAACAAAGAGATGCACCTTTCTTCAGTGGCACCACCTTCACCCTCTCCTTTGTTAGAGTAACATTTTTGTGTGGTGCTTCTGCCTCTGTAACAGAGAAAAGAGTGTGAAAATCAAAAGCTTGATTACTTTCAAAAAACTATTTAAAGGAAAGGTCAGCATCAGCTTACCTTTAGCTGGGGCTGGTTTTGTCTTAACTGGAGCTGGCTCTAAGTAAAGAGATTTTAGGTTCAGCGCTACACAATAATTCAGTTCAGTTTAATTAATACAGCCCCAAATCACAATAACAGCTGGATCAGAGTGTTTTATACTGTAAGGTAAAGACCCAACAATAATACAAAGAAAACAAACCCTAACAATCCGATGACCCCCTATTAGCAAGTGCTTTGGCGACAGTGGGAAGGAAAAACTTGCTTTTAAGAGGATGAAATATCCAGCAGGACCAGGCTCAGGGGAGGAAGACAGGACAATACTGAAACTCAATGATAACTGTTTCTTACCTTTCTTGGTTAGAATTGGTTTGAGCTTCTGTTTTGAAACCTCAGCTGATGTTAAAAACACAGAACGTGATGCTCAGTATGACATCCAGACCTCTTTCATGTTATTAAAATTTTGATCTTTGACATTGACATGATATACTGTACGTACTTGTCTTTGCAGAGACAGCTCTGACTTTCTCTTTTGGCATCTTGACCACTGATGAACAAAGAACAGACATCAGGTTACGGAGAATATCATTAGGAACGGTGGGATGCAAAAATCTGAAATCAGTGTAACATAAAATAAAAATAGATTACCTTTCTTCATAGGCACAATTTTAACCCTCTCTTTCACCAGTGAGGCATTTCTAGCAGTACCTTGTTGTTCTGTCAAGAAAAAAACAACTATTTGTGAGATTTGCATGCAGCCTGTATAGTTAAGTTGGTGTTTCTTTGTGCATCAAAATATGCACCACACGTACCTTTAGCCAAGATCACTGGTTTGGGCTTTTCTTTTGGAGCAACAGCTTCTGTATATGAAAAATAAATTTTTTTAACAGCAGGATAATGCAATCATTTTGTCTTTTGGTGATCAGAAGATTATCAATGTAATATGTGAACGTTACCTTTCTTTGCAGGATGTGCTTTAGCCTTTTTCTTTGGTGCTTCTGTGACACAACACAAGTGCATAAACTTACCATAACTCTGGCTTTGATTGGTTATTTTTACAGTTCAGATTTTAAAATATCTGGAACGTAATCGTTAGTGATATTCATAAAATGGATGCACAGGAACATTCTCCATAAGAGTTAGCAGGTGTCAGTAGTAGTGTCCACTTAATTCCATAGACCTGTGACTCTTCTGCCTTTAAGTCTTGACACTGTCATAAAGGGAAGTATATTTACCCTTCTCTGAAGGAGCTCGTTTTACTCTTTCTTTTGTAACCTCAGCATCTAAAAACAGAAAATAACACAGGAATTGATAAGAATATGTAATTTGCTAGTAATTAAGTATACTGCTCCATATAATTTATTAAACTGAGCAACAGAGAAATAAAATATCAGTAAAGTGCTGCAGAGACTGTAATAGCTTAGCAGCATTACCTCTTTTATTTACTAGTGCTACCTTTATGCTCTAATATGAAAATATGTTTAGATTTGGCGTGTTGTTTGAGTTTAATTTTCAGTGTTTCAACTCCATCATCATATTTACCTTACCTGGTTTTACAGGTGTAGGCTTTACTTTTAGCGTTGGCTCCTTCTTAGGCTCCTTCGGAGCTGCTTCTAGTGGAAAATAAGACATCGATTTCTAAAGATTGTTGCTTATGCATTAACACTTTCTATTAATTTTTTTATATTCCACATGAAAATCTTTTCTCATTAGGCATTACACTGTCAGTGTCAGCAAACAAAGTACGAATTAGAACATGCTTAAATGTATTTCTTGAATGACTTGAAAAATCAATGAGGCATTATATCTCCCTCAGAATAGCTTTAACTTACACATTGCAGAGAAAACAAGAAAATGCGGTGATTCATGCCTTACATATATTAACCAATAGTCCAGCATAGTCTCACCTGCTTTTGTAACATTGAGATGTTCCTTCTTAAGAACAGATGCAACCTCCTTCTTGACAATTTTAATTCCTCTTACAGGCTTTTTGGGCTCTAAAGTAAAAAGGAAAAGCTGCTTCAAACATTTTTAGAAAACGGATTAATTATATTCCCCACAAAATAAATGCATCTAAATATTATATTGTTATGAAAACTATACATCACTATTCTTCTTACGGGTCAACAACATTCATCCAAAAGAACAAACAACGTTTTAAAGATATTTATTGTAATGAGTCAAATGAGTTTTTTCTTTTTCTTCGATAGAGACATGATATCCTTAATATCCTCTTTCTCGCTGTTCAAATCTTTTGTTTCTGAGGGGCAGCCAATCAGAGGAAATAGTGTTGTGGATCTTTACATTATGAAAATAAAACCTCTGTACTGTACATGTACCTGTCTTTGTGATTCTTTTTTTCACAGGTTCTTTGTCTTCTTTGGGAGTCTTGATTTCTTTCTCCTCTTTGGAAGGCTTTTTAACTTTTTCTATTTTGTGAATCTCCTCTTTCTTTTCTTTGGAAGGTTTCTTTTGGACAGGTACTTTGGGGAGCTTCTTCAGTTCTCTTTCTTCTTTGATAGGCTTCTTTGGTTCTTTTTCATCCTCTCTAGAAGGTTTTGTTGGTTCTTTAACTACTTGTTTTTCCTTTGCTGACTCCTTTGGTACTGCCCTTTCTTTAGAAGGTCTCTCTTTCTTTCTGTCCTCTTTCACCTCTTTAGAAATTTCTGCTGTTGGTTTCTTCTCTTTAATGATCTTTTCTGGCTCTTCTGAAATCTTCTTTACTTCTTTGGGTGGTTTTTCTTGATCTTTTGTTTCTTTCAAAGGCTTTCTTGATTCCTTTTCTTTCCTTGGATGAAGTATTTCTCCCCTTGCTTCCTTGGATGGAACCTCATCTTTAGATTGTTCCTTAACTTCTTTTTCCTTTTGTTCTCTTATAGGTTTAATTTCTTTCTCCTCCATGGATGGTTTTATTTCTTCTTTGTCATCCTTTGAGGGTTTTTTCACTTCTTTCTTTTCCTTTGGAGGTTTTGTTACTTCTTTTGGTTCTGTGGTCTTCACCTCCTTCTCTACTTTCTCAACCATCTCTTTCTTAGATGTTTTTAAGACTGCCTTTTCTTTGTGTAATTTTTTCTCTGCTTTCTCATCTTTAAGGGATTTCTTTTGTTCTTTGACATGTTTCTCCTCTCTTGGTTGTTTCTTCTCCTTCTCATCTTCGGAAGGTTTTGATACTTCCTTAGATTTCTTAACTTCTTTCTCTTCTTTAAGAGTTTTTGTCTCTTCTTCTTTTAGAGGTGGTTCCTTTTCCTCTTTTTCTACTTTTGGAGGGTGGGTGACTTTTTTCTCCTCTATATGTGGTGTTTTAGCCTTAGAGGGTTTCTTCGCTTCTTTCTCTTTTTTGGGAGGCATCTCTACTTTTTCTTCTTTAGGAGATTTCCCAATTTCTATCGCTTCTTTAGGAGGTTCCTTGTCCTCTTTGAATGATTTCTTAATGTCTTTGGGCAGTCTCGTGACTCCTTTCTCAGGTACTTTCTTCTCTTTTGAAGGATGGCTAATTTCTTTTTCTTCAATGGGTTTTATTAAAGGTTTCTTCTTTTCTTCTTCCTTAAGAGGTTTCTTCTCTTCCTTCTCTGCTTTAAGAGGTTTCTTCTCTTCCTTCTCTTCCTTAGGAGGTTTCTTCTCTTCCTTCTCTTTTTTAAGATGTTCTATCTCAGGTTTCTCTTCTTTAAGAGGTTTCTTCTCTTCCTTCTCTTTTCTGAGAGGTTTCTTCTCTTCCTTTTCTTCTTTAAGAGGTTTCTTCTCTTCCTTCTCTTTTCTGAGAGGTTTCTTCTCTTCCTTTTCTTCTTTAAGAGGTTTCTTCTCTTCCTTCTCCTTTTTGAGAAGTTTCTTCTCTTCCTTTTCTTCCTTAAGAGGTTTCTTCTCTTCCATCTCTTTTTTAAGATGTTCCTTCTCAGGTTTCTCTTCTTTGAGAGGTTTCTTCTCTTCTTTCTCTTCCTTAAGAGGTTTCTTCTCTTCCTTCTCTTCTTTAAGAGGTTTCTTCTCTTCCTTCTCTTTTCTGAGAGGTTTCTTCTCTTCCTTCTCTTCCTTCTCAG